TTGGGCCTTAGCCATCAGTCGCTGCTATGAAATTGCAATTTCATGGTTATACGCTCACTCTGTTCAGGCTGCTCGAGGAAAAAGTGATGCTTCATTTGCACGCGAGAAGCTAGATGGAACGTATTTCCTCCGTTCTCATGCTAATTCCTTAGAGCACACTTCCATGGAAAAAACACCAATTCGCACATCTATTACAACTGTGATACGGTACAGGTAAAGCTCTAGTAATTGCTGGATTGGTAATGACTGATTGGTAATTTTCAACTTTAGAAGGCTGCTCGGAATGGGTTACATACACTGGTTGCTGACGGGGTCCACTCCTTCCAGCCCCGTCAGCTGAAGAAGATGGGGCAACTCTACACGATCTATGGCGTGTGCAGCAGCGGTGTCGAAGTGCCGTTGCTATATGCGATTTCTACAAAGAAAGCAGAACAGGTACAGACAGCCTTTTTTCAGCATTTGAACTCTCAATTTCAGGCATCGGTAGTCCCACCTGCTCCACGAATTGTTCTGGATTACGAATGTGCGTCCATTAGTGCAGCCGGCAGGGTGAGTTCTCACAAGACGTTAAGTCGACTGTCAATTATCCACACTATCTGCAGGTGTTTCCGGAGGCTACGGTGCAGGGCTGCGCCTTCCATCTTGTGCAGGCCTGGAACGGCAGCGCGACAGATTCGGTGTAAGGCCGTTTTGTGCGCAGAAGTCCAACGAAGTGGCGGGATTGGTGAGCCACAATCAAAGGATTGGTGTTGCTACCACGACGTTTACATCGTGAAGTGCGCGCCCTCCATGCGCCTCCGGTTCCGGAACAACACGCGGCGTTCACACCTTGTCGGCTGGTTCTCTTACGAGAGACGTGGTATGAAGGGATGTTTGCCGATCTATGGGATAAACATGGCATAAAGGAGTTGCGCACAGCAAACTTAGCCGAGGGCTGTCACAGGTATGATTACATCATTTTCAATGATTGTATCGTTGGTAATAACAATTTGCAATTTTACAGCCAACTGAACACTTTAGTGGACACAGACCACCTTCCTTTGCGTGAGCTGATCGAAGTTCTTCGGAACCTCGACAGCGAGACCGAGTCGGCGCGGACGACGCTGGAGCAGGTAAATCCATTTCTTATGTGAAAGAATAGAGAGAAACACTACTTTGCAGTATCCAGCGCACGTTATATACATCAGGCCCAAAGACCGCGAAAGGAGAGAGAAGACTGCGTCTGAGATGAGGTATTTCATCTTTGAGATATTCTTTGTCGTCGTTGTTACTGAAGCTTTCAGGTTTACGGAGCAGTACAATGGTGGGATATCGCGACATCGCATCGAGGAATGCTGCCGAACAAAGTCAAGGCATGTTTCCGATAAGACCATCTGATTGTTATGTCACTTATTTTGTTCCTATCAAGTACAAGATTTGTGCATGTGTAATTTTTATTCGTATAGAGTATGTATATATCATATATATTGTACAGTTATATAGTTGTATTGCATGCAAATAAACTGCTTTTATATGATATGTTATTGTGAACATACTCATACACACCCACACATAGCTCGAAGCAGTTACCTAGAATGCATTGGCAGCTTCTGTCCACAAAATGCAATGACATCATAGGCTTATGCTCTCAGCAATATGTGGATGAGGTAGAAGATTTACTTCCCGCAAGCATGAGAAAATAACAAACGACACTGACCGCTCGACAATACAATACCGCTCGTAATTTGTGAAAAAAATTGGCGTC